CACACGCCTGCGCCAGTCTAGTATTTAAGTGGACTGATAATTCCATTTGATATCATGTAAAATTGCAAATTTATGATTTGTTACATTCAAATTTACTCTCCTTTCAAATTTTTGGTTATTTATAATTTGTCTAGATCTGTCCATAAAAAATCTGAACTTTTTATTGGTATTTTACAGAGTCGTTTTGGCTGAAGCCCTGTTTGATTATCAAGCTTGAAATCATCTCTTTCACGTTCATTATTTACTGTATATTGTGTATGCCTTCCAATCATGGAACATTCTTCACCTGTAATGTTTCACAGTTGTCTGAATGGATCCAGTAAATTGTTGTTCTTTCCATTTACTCCCAACTGAAGTGATTTGTTCACATTTGCGATTTTTTTGCACCATAACTTCTTTACCTCCCATTTAAATGCAAAGCATGATTTGTATATAATTCCAGACAGTTTTCCACTTCAAGAAAACGAAGATTTTCAAAACCCTTATTATATTCCATCAGCTTTCTACTGAAATTTTTTACTGCACTGTTTACACAGGATCTCTCCTGGAGGTCATGGTTATAAGGAACGTTTATTACACCTAAATCTGTGTGATTCTGCCTAATTACAAGGTCATTCATTTGCCGGAGACCATACTCACCTTCGTTTTTCGCTACATCGCGACCCCCTCCCCACACGATAAACACGTCTTTTTTTGTGAGCTCACAGTTGAATTTAACTTATTAGTTATCTCTTTAATGTTTGACCCAAGTTATACTATGCCTATGCAGTTCATTTGCCATACCTCTCGCGTGGCCAACACCCATCTTTAGGACTCTACTACCACTTCTCCTACTATTCTTCTCAGCAGCTGCCATTTTACCGTACGTAGAAACCGTAGAAACCACGAGCGCAGCGGGTACGGCGGTTACACTTCTTTTCATCAGTACCACTCAACTGCTGAGTCTTATTTCGAAAGCCCAAAGGGAAGACGGCGCTATAAAGAATTTTTAGGCATATGTGAAAGGCCTGTGACTAGACAACACAGTGTTTTAATTAATTATTTAATATACAAATAGCGCTATTTTTACAATATACAACATAAGTAAAAACAATAAAATCCTATAATATTATATACACAAATGTATTACCTCCACAATAACTGTACTCTGCTAGTTATATCACGCACCTAGTTGGGCCGTGGCGCCACTGCCTTCACTCACTTGCCCTAATGATAATATATACGTACATTGTTCTTGAGTCATATTTTCCGTCTAGTACTAAGAAGAAACCACCATCAAAGCGGACACACTTCTCTTTACCAATAGCACTCAACTGATGCTTGTGTGCTGAGAAGGGTACCGTCTATTTCACAGGTGGAAGATATTCATTGTATTCTCTGCTGAAATTGAACAATCAGTTGGCTCAGAACCTCTAACGTGGTCTTCATTGATTCAATGTCCTTCTGTATTTCGGCACAGCTTTCTTCTTGCAGCTCCCTCCTCTGTTTGATTGAATGCACCACCTCATTCATTCGAGCGAATCGATTGTCTTCCTCTTTCACCAAGTCTATCGCAATTTTCATCTGTGAGATGAGCCCAGTACTCTCATGAAACAAAATGCTCCTGAGCTCCTGATCTGTTTCGCCTTCCCTTCGCCACCACCGTCGATATATGTAACGTGGGAGATAATACAACATATTAATAATGAAGAGTGCGATGAGCTCGAAAATCAGACGGGCAAGGAACGTCCACAAATTCTGGTGTTCTGCTGCTGTGCTCCATCCTTGAAATTCCCAGGACTGCATGGATTCCATTTCGTCTGCTGAGGCGACGGTCCAGACTGGGAATATTTTAGAGTCTGGGATTGTTTCGGATGCTGGAGCTGGTTCGGGTGCTGGAATTTGTTCTGATGCTGTAGTTAATTCGGGCGCTGGAGTTGTTTCGGGTGCTGGAGTTAATTCGGGCGGTGGAGTTGTTTCGAGTGCTCGAATTTGTTCTAATGCTGGAGTTAATTCGGGCGCTGGGGTTAGTTCGGATGATTGTAATGAAGGAAAGTATCCTTGTTTGAAAATTGCCGCAGGAATTGCTAACATTGCGAAACTGAATACGGTAATTAATATTTTGGTCTTCATTTTTTGTTTGCTTATTTTTCTACGCTTGAAAGTGTTATTTTTGTTACTTCACGTGGATCGAATGATAAGTGAGAATCAGTGTTCACTCTACTCCTGCTTTATTAAGACTGAGCTATTTTATACAGAAGTACGCCTTATATATACATACAGGCTTATAACCATAGTAACACTTAACAATATAAATATACTGTTGTTACACACGTAACTGTGGTTACACATAACAGTAAACATCACTTAGGTAACAAGACATAACCTAGTTCTTAAATTGTTTACTATGATGTTGCCAACTCTAACATTATATTTCAGTATCTGAGAGTTGCCAACGTAACACTCCGCCTTAACTAAGAGAGACGTTTGTTTAGTATGGGTAGGTACAAATGTTGGGAGAAATGAGTTCTTTCCAAAATTAAAATTCAGTTACTGCTCCTCGGTTCATATTTTTACCATCAAGAGGATTTCATCGAACCAATCGCAGTTCCAGTGGTGCCGTTTACAAAGTAATCAAAATACGGAGTTGCATTCATCTGCGATGGCAGTGTTCATTCTTTGAATGTTATTTCCAGACAGATTATGTGAGTACATTCAATCTGCCTGTATGCTTTCATTAGCGGTCAGAAGCGTCAGAAGCGGTCAGACGGTTCAGAAGGGTCAGAAGTGTAGTATACGGGGCAGAATCCGAAGAACTGAAGGAATTTCGGTTAAGAAGATAAAGTCTTTTTTTTTTCTTAGTTAGCCACAATGGTGCGTGCGAGTATTTGTAGAGCAAGAGTTTGTAGCAAACAAAAAATTTTAGTAGAGTTTGTAAATATAACCACCAAGCTTGCAAGCTAAGGTTAGAAATAATCCATACTCTACTTTTTATCGTTACAGGGGAAGTCAAAGAAATTCATTGATCATAAAAATGCAGTAACTTTCCATCTCATTCACTGAAGTCAGCAGGACCCTCTTATTGCTGATGGAAATTCCCCATAACATGTTCTTTCACCAGCTTCATTTGATAAAAAGACCAAAGTAAGCTTGAATTCTTCATACTTAACATAGCTTTATGTTTAGAATAAATATATAAATTATAATATTTGATTTGAATATAATATTTGAAAGAACGAGTTAGTGCAGCATTTCTACAACGTCACGGTTTGTAATAATAATTATTATTATTATATTATATTCAAGTTATAATTATAACTTGAATATAATATTTGAAAGAACGAGTTAGTGCAGCATTTCTACAACGTAATAATAATAATAATTATTATTACAAACCGTGACGTTGTAGAAATGCTGCACTAACTCGTTCTTTCAAATATTATTCTCCAATATGGAATTGAGTTTTCGTGATTTATACAGGACAACTTCAATGGTGGGCTGGTGATGTCGCCAGAAAGAAGGAAACAAGGGTGCTTAGACAGTTTTGGTGGAGAGACCTGTAGGAAAATGTCCATGTATAAGATTTTTACATAGGAAGGAGTGTAACATAAGATTGAGCATAGGGATGGTTGATGAATGGAATGATTTTTTGATAATATTCACTGGTGCACTTCGGTATTAGCAGTTTTGCTCCAGAAAATTAGTTACCATATAAAGTTTTGTGGCCATCTGTAAAGTGTGCAATAAAATTGTCTACTGTATTATGATAATTAGTGTGTATGTTATAAAGAAGTAAGTCACAGTTTGATTAGGCAGAATTAGATAAAGAAAAAAAATAATGGCTAGAATAGCCTATTTCTAATTCACTTTTCTCTCTTCTTCCTCCTCCTTTTCTTCACTGCTGCTTCATAATTAGGAGGCTCCAAGTTCAAATATCTGGAAATAGGCTATCCTGACAAGAGTTTTTGTCGTTATATATGGTCTTGCAAGGCAAGTGTATTGATGGTGCCTGAAATTTGGTCATGATCACTTCCTTTCCAGCAGTGCTGTAACTCAGGTGGTTTGTTGCCAGCTTACCACTGTGGTGGCCTGGGTAGAATCTCAGGTCAGGTCACATGGGATTTATGGTTGAAAAAGTGGAGGGGGTTTCAGAGTACTCTGTTTTCTCCTGCAAATTTTCATTCCATTACCTGTTCCGGATTCATTAATCATCGTATTATTTGCTATGTAGTCTGAATACTCACAGTTGTTTAATAACCAGTATCCTTTCCAGTTCTTTACTCACAAATCATCTTGTAATTTGGTGCTAAACAATCTGGGCCATTTTAAGCATCATCAAATGCAATTTCTTTATTAAAACCGTCAGAACACAACTATATTAAGGTCAGTGCCAAGTCAGGCTCTGCTACATGTTTCGGCTACTAAAAGCGATCATCAGGCAAGTACATGGCCAACATACAACATAACACCACTGAACTGCAGTATTAATAAAATTGGATACAATAATATTAATTATATTAAAATACTTGACATAAAAATACAATAAATTAGATTATATAAAACAAAACTTTTAGTATAAAACAAGAATAAAATTCTTTGATTGATGCTTTACATCATCGAGTCAGTCGTTGGTTTTTGTGATTTTGTTTTGTTCCCATGGACAAGTATAAAAACTGTTATAGGAGGCTCGTGATGTAGATGTAGTAATATTAATGTTAATCTGAAAATGATATGAGAGTAATAGTATTAAATTTTGTTATAATTAACTGTTGATTTTGGTATTGAAGATATAGTGTATTATTTACTTACTATTTAGTCGGTGCCTCATCTTACAAAAAAATCATCAAATAAATTAAGTGTATAGGAGAATAATTTTAACAGTATGTATCAACATATGATTCACAAACAGTTGTATCAATTTAGACATTTTAATGTTCAGTTTTCTAGTCTTGTTGTTTTATGCATTAGTATTTTTTGTAGAGATATAAGGAGAGTTTCAATGGGCTGGGCATGTACAGAGAATGGATAAGGAGTGTATCGCAAAGAAAATATTATATAATACAGTAGGTGGTAGGAGACACACTGGGAAACCAAGAACTAGATGGATTGATATGGTGGAAGAAGATGCAAAGAAGTGAATGGGTGTAAGGAACTGGAAGAGAACAGCGCAGGGTAGAGAGGAATGAAGGGGCTTGATAAGGGAGACCAAGGCCCGACATCGGGCAGTTGTGCCATAAAAGAAGAAGATAAGGAGAGTTTGCTCTAACAATAAGTTGCTGGTTTATACTTGTATTGAAGATCTTAACCTTGTGTTGTGTTGTGTTGACGGTAAGATTATTGACATGAAGTTTGCAAACAGTATATGAGAATTTTCAGGCAGTGTGTTATTTCACTATTTAAGTTTCTGTGTTCTTGTATCTGCACTTAGTAACTTTGCTATATGGTTCTTTGTCATAGTCAGGAAAACCATATATGTGAAAGGTAAGGCAAATTTAATTTGTCTCCAGAAATATTTCAGTTTACTTAAGTGATAATTATATTTTCAGAATTCAGTAAATTTGTTGAAACCTGCTTATAATGGAATCCAAAGAGACATGAATAGTTCCTGATTTCAGTGGGGTTTTAATTTAATACATATACTTAGGATAAATACAAGTATTGCATGATACATTCCCAATGTATTTATGATCCAGATTACTTGTATGAAATTCATTCTACATTTGTACACCTGACTATTCACTGAGCAGTACAGATTTGCAGATTTGTTCCATTTGTCCTTCTCATATAACTTTCAGATGAGAGTAGAATTATATGAACAGTAAACAGTAAATATTCAAGGATACTAGTTTCTGTCTGTATATCGAGATGAGACATTTTCCGTTAAAAACAGGTTTCTGTTTAATCCTCTTTCTGTATTAGTCAAATTTTATTCTATGCAGAAATATCTCGGGCACTTTACGGTCCCATTGTATGTAGTATTGACAATACTGTGCACTTGAGAATTGGGTTGATAACAGTTTTTTAACCTTTGCATTAGGCTTCAGATGCTGCAAAGAGAAAGGAGGAACAGAAGAAATATGGTATATATTTTGATGATGATTATGACTACCTGCAACACTTACGTGATGTCAGCTGTACAACTGTTGATTGGGAACCTGTTGAACAATTATCCAGCCGGACTACCAATTTGAAGTTGCCTTCATCTGTGTTTGCATCAAAAGTAGAAGAAGATATTGGCCTTCTCAATAGGGCAGCACCTCATTCAGGTGAGTTTTATTAATGGTTTTCAGTGGCTTTACGAACAGACTGTGCAGATTGGAAGAGTGCTTACTAGAGTAGGGGTCCATAGATAACACATTTCTCCCACATAGTGAACTTCCTGATTGAATGATTGATGGAGTCTTCAGTTATTTAATGATCCTTTTCATCTATATAGTTTATGTAGCATTGAATAGTAGATTTTTGTGNTAAATTTCAAAGTAGTTATGGTGTATCCTGAGGTACTATCCGTTTGTTTTCCTGAAAGAACTAATGAAATATTCACTCAGGATAGCTGTTATCTGGAACAGTGATGATACTACAATAATTCCGTACAGAAATATGTTGCTATGTGGACAGAACAGTTATGCTATCTTGTTGAAAGGTCTGTTGTTCTTCACTCCAGTTAGTAAGTGATCTGGCCTTTCCAGTTATCTGCGGTATAGAGTTTGTGTGTACTTATGCATAAATATTGTTCTCTTTCTCTTGTAGATGATTTTTGATCAATCTATGCCAGCATGATCTCCATAAGCTTTTTAAATTTGTTGTTGACCTAGTGAGTTAGTCACATGGAGTTATTAAGTCAAATTCTTTATGAAACAGTTTTCCTTGAACCATGATAAGACAGCTGTCCAATGAAACATTTTAATTTCACCATGCCCTCTCCACGCTAATAACACTGTGTTTACTTCACGCACATCAGAGTTTTGTATTTTGCACCTTATAACTCATTCCTTCCATAAATGGCCAATGAACCAGTTACCTTGTTCTTCACATACTTTTTTACTGATACTTCTCTAGATGCATAGTAAATACTTCATATTTTGAGTGACACCAGGTTGATATAAGGGTACTGCTGTACACTTGTGTTTGAGAGGTATGTAATTTAAGTCTTGGTTGGCTTATTGGCTATCCCATCTGAGGTGTGTAATTGGTTTAGAATTATCCTCCATTAAGCAACTTTAATTGGTTCCATGACATGTTGTCTATTAGTAATTCATCAGTTAATGGAACAAATTGTAGCATTTGCTTTGCTTTTTATTGTGATATCATTAATTTCAATTTAAATGTTGGAAAATGTAATGGAAAGCATGAGATTGCATTCCTAAGCTACCAGAATGGCTGGCTGAAGTGAATGGGCTTGTAAAGATCACCATTGCACTTCTACATTGGCAATCAATTGACCAGGGTATGAAAATTGTTTGGGTATTGGGATATACTACTCTGTCCAAAAAGTATCCGACCTTGGGCTGGGGAAAAAAAAGTTCTGTATCTGGGTGGTTACAATACCTAATCCCCTTCAAAGTAGGCCCCTTGTGATTCCACACACTTAGCCCAGCGGCCCTTCGATCGCTGGAAGCAATTCTGGAAGGCTTCTTTTGGAATCGTGTGCAGCTGCCCTGTCACGTTCTGTATGATGTCCTCACGGCTGTCAAAACAGTAGCCTTTTAGCTGTGTCTTCAATCTCGGGAACAGCCAGAAATCACAAGGAGCCATATCAGGAGAGTAGGGAGCCTGGCGAACCTGCGGAATGCCATGCTTGGCCAGGAAACCCTGGATCAGGTGTGATGAATGAGCTGGAGCGTTGTCATGATGCAGCTGCCAGTTGCGTGCGTCCCACAGCTCCGGTCTCTTGTGCCAAACTGGATCATGAAGGTGGCGGAGGACTTCTTGGTAGTACTCCTTACTGACAGTCTGGCCTAGTGGTGCGCACTCATGATGCACAACACCCCGGTAATTGAAAAAAAAAAGTCATTATCACCTTCACATTGCTCCGAACCTATCGTGCTCTTTTGGGCCTCGGGGATGTTGGATGCTTCCATTGTGACGCCTGGACCTTGGTTTCCGGGTCATATCCATACACCCACGACTCGTCACCAGTGATCACAGTCTTCAGGAACTCAGGATCCCTGTTGGCGCACTCCAGCATGTCCTGCGCGACCTCAAGGCGGAATTGTTGCTGCTCCGGCGAAAGCAGCTTGGCCACAAATTTTGCCACCACTCTTCGCATGCCCAAATCCTCAGTTAAAATTGTGTTTGTGGAACCTCTGCTGATCCCAACCTCATCAGCAACTTCACGGATGGCCAAACGACGGTCCTCCATGATCAGTGTCTGCACTTTTTCAATGACCTCAGCATTTCGGCTCGTTGACGGTCTCCCGGAACTCTGCTCACTGTCCGCCGACATACGGCCATATTTAAAGCTGTTGAACCACTCTTTAATTTGAGTGACTCCGTTGCATCATCACCAAAAGCCTGCTGAATTTTGCGGATTGTTTCCGCTTGGATATCCCTAAGTTTCTGACAGAACTTAATGCAGTATTGCTGCTCCAAGCATTCTGTCATCTTGAGCAAAATGAGAATGCGATGAACACGTGTTACACCACTTTGCTATCTGGCAGCCACAGACGCATCCGGCAGTGTTGCGAGTCAGGAAAAAATCACGCATGTGCAGGAAAGTCCCTTCTACCACTACACTCAGTTTCCCCACCCCTTTGGCCATTACTTACAGCGGAAAAAATAAAGTCGGATACTTTTTGGACATATGGTATTATGGGGGTGTTGATAGATCAAATCATCAGTTAGTGGGAGATGTCTGTGTTTGTACCGCCACACAATGCTTCAGATATTCCACAACCATTTCTTCCAAGTTCTTAGCTACTGGCCATCTAGGTTATCTTTGCATCCCCTTTGATGCCATATAAGCTATAGGTGCAGTTGAGAGGAAACTGTTAAAGTCTTTGAATCTGGCTGTAATATATGTACCATGCTGCTTGTCTTGTGATGAAACCAGTGGTGGTACATGTACCACTGTAGCTTTAAAAATGTACATTACAACACTACCTTCAGTATTGACATAGAAGTTTCACTCTTCGGCAGCTCAAAACTTGTTGTTTTCTGTTTCAGCAGTTCAAAATTTGCATGCAAAAACTGATGAAATTATTAATTATTTTCTGTGCATTTTTCAACATTCTGGCCCAAGAGGAAGGGGTGTTTAAATGGCAGTGATTGCGAAGTGTTAACTAACCCAAAAATCAATCACTCACTTGCGAATAACAAATGTTTCTTCATCATTTTGCTGTTGTGATAACAGCCTATGAATATAGTCAGTTTCTTAATGCTCTCAGCATTGAGAAAGTGGAATACATGTCTCAGTCTGTTCAGTAAATTTCCACTTCATTTTCTTAGGTCCACTGTACTCATGCAATGGGATGGTCATCTTTTCATAAAAGATTCTATGCATCTTCCTCTTGCCTTATTAAGGAGTGAGGAGTGGATATTTTATAACACTTGTACAACATATATATATATATATAAGGTAAGGCAGTCAGGATAGCTAAGCCAGCATAGTGAATGGCTATGGGTTGTATCCAGTGGGTATCAGGGCTCTTTCCTGGGGGGGGGTAAAGTGGCTGGGCCATAAAGCTGACCACTGATACTGAGGTCAATAATGGTGGAGCTAACTTCCACTCCTCTATATATCTTCATGGCACAGTACTTTATGAAGCATAGGGAACACTTTTCTTTTTAAAAAGTGAAGCTATCCCTGTAACAGACTGTGGAGGCCCATAGGGTTGTGAGACATCAAGGCTCCCACATCTTCTAGATAATCAGCTCAGAGATGGTGGTGAGGTTGTCAGTCTTATGCCCTGGCTGCCCTTTATCCCCAGGAAGGTTCCTGGTACTCATTTCTGTTAGAGGATAAGACAACCACAGTGCAGCTGGAAGCATTAGGTTAATTGAAAAATCCATTGACCTCATTCGGTATTGAATCTGTGATAGCATGTAGCATAGTGCCTAATCCCACTGCGCTACTGTGTGCCCTGAACTTTGCCTTTTGCCTTTATAAAGGTAAATTGATGTGGACATACATGTCATTGCATTACTCTTCGTTTCACAGTTGGAAACATTGAATCTTGTATATATGGACCCTTATAGTTAAGCCTGATATTGTAATGATGCTTTATTATCAGGTCCACGTTTGGATCTGGATCCCGATGTAGTTGCTGCAATGGATGAGGATTTTGACTTTGAAGACCCAGGCAATGAACTTGAAGATAATTTCATTGAATTGGCCAATGCAGAAGGTAGTGGTCGTGAGATGGATTCACGTGATGATGATGATGATGATGATGAGTGAGTAGTTACTGAAGATAATATTTCATAAACTCACAGAAGTATGTTGTAAATGTATTCCCATCATTAGCATTTCACATTGCTATTGCAATATTAGAATTCTATTTTTGTCAGTATTCTCAGTGTCCTTGCTTTACAAATATTTATGTTTTCATTCTTGACTCATAGAATATAGTAACAATCCTGCAGCTTGAGTTGCTTGAGACTTGGTGTTTGGTCCCTCTTGCCTGTTCAGCTTTTCCTGCACTCTACATTAACTTTGCACTGTTATCATATTTGGTAATGTTATTTATAGTATGTACATAGCTCATGAAGTTGTATAGCATGAGAATGGTTTTATCTCAGATGAGCTTTGTACATTAGTTTATTTATTTTCCTTCACAGTGGATCAAAACTGGAAAGACATAGTGATGAAATATACCTAACAAAAGATAATTATTCATGTTAAATAAGAGTCAATTCTGGTGAGTAACCTCACCAGCCATGTGTTGCATTATTGCATGAGTGTGATCCAGCTGGCCAAATGCTGTAAATTTTCAATACTAATACCATTACCTTCTAACTCGAAATATGGCTGCAAGCCCATAGTACCAGGAGATTTAAAATTCCCTGTTCCTGGCCTGTGAAGATTAATAATAAATTATCTTAGCCAGCTTCCCTTATTTTATTGGGGAACAGAAGAATGGCCCATTGAAATGAACGATAAAGTACAGATCCTGTTTGTTGTAAGATGTCTGATTGGAGGGAAAGCCATTTCTTATTAGCATAAACACAAGTTCAACTTAGAAAGAAATTATTGAGAAGAAACAACTAATTTTAGAGGTTTGTTGTAATAAAGGGCGATGTGATTGATGTATATTTAGGTGATGGTGATGTTACTTGTCATACAAAAGTATGTGCCTTCCGTTGCTAATAAATTAAGTGCTGGGAAGGAGCACATCTGAAGCTGATTCTACACAATGCATTAATTTATGCTCATGAAATAATGATGTTGACCATATTAGTGAAGAATTTCTTAATAGTCGTGATGGACGTATTAGAATAAATGTAGACCCCATTCTGTATAGATCTTCTGTGAAGATACATTTCCCACTGAAGTTTGAAATTGTTTATTATATAGCCCTATTTTTTAATGTAGGATCTGATATTAAAGTCACTAATGGCATCAGGCATATATATATACACACCAAAACCGATCATATTGTCATGTGTTAGAGTGACCATAGACACAGGGATTTGAATTCGAGGTTGGATTTATTGACCACTTTAACACATGACTCGTGACTACACGTACGTATAGTGCCAGTGCCACTTTACAGATCACTACAGCACATGCTATGTCTTTTCAGCCTGCTGTGTCTTTACCATTCTTTCCCTGGTGACATATTGAATGTGAAATAGTTGTGTTGATGGTATTGATAAGTATTTTCATTTATAATAAACACAGTGGGATGTAGAGATCAAAGATTGCTCAGAATTGCTCTCTGAGGTTTATGCATATACGTAGGTGAGTCAATAAGTAAGTTACAAATTGATGTGGGGTACTACTACATGTTTGAATGAGGCACTTGAGGGTATCACCACTAGATGGCAGCATTAGTCCGGTGGCAGTTGATGACATTCGACACAAGACAATTGATGTTTACAAAAGTGAAACAGCAGTTGCAAGATGGCAGCACCTCTGAGTGAGTGTACAACCTTCGAGCAGTGCTCTGTTGTATGATTTTATGGGCAAATGATACGGGATCAAAGAATATTCATAAAGAAATGCTTCCCGTCTATGGTGAGAAGTGCCTGTCACGTCAAGCTGTTTACAATTGGGTGCAGAAGTTCTCTGAAGGGAGGACACATATCAAGGACGAACCCTGCGTCGGCCGGCCAGTGGAGATTGCCACAGAGGCAAACGTGCAATGGGTTGAAGACCTAATCCGAGCAGACAGAAGGGTAACTATAGACACTATAGCCATTGCTATTGGTTGTTCACACAGCATGGCCTACCTCATGATGCATGACAGGTTAGGTTTCCACAAAGTCTGTGCATGATGGGTGCCGTACATGCTGACCCCACAGCACAAAATGCAAAGAATGGGTCTGGCATTACAGCATCTCAATCGCTACCACGATGAAGAACACGATATGCTAGCCCAAATTGTCACAGGTGACGAGTCTTGGGTTCACCATTACCAGCCCGAGACAAAGCGTGCGTCAGTGCAGTGGAAACATCCTGCGTCGCCTGCCAAAAAAATGTTTACGGTGACACCATCCTCCAGGAAAGCGATGCTCACAGTCTTCTGGAATCACGAAAGCATACTGCTCACTGCATTCCAGCCTCAAGGAACAACTGTAAATGCCAACTTCTACTGTAACGTCCTCAGGAAACTTTGTAAGGCCATTCAGCGGAAGCGACCAGGAGTCTGGTGTGTTGCTCTTGCATGATGTGCGTCCCCAACTGCCAGCAAGACAAATGAGATGCATTGAAATTTCAAGTGGGAAGTCCACGAGCATCCTGCGTATAGCCCGACCTTGCTCCAAGTGACTTCCATTTGTTCAGCCCTCTTAAACATCATCTTTTGGCTGAACATTTTCCCAACGATGAAGCTGTAGAAAGGGAAGTCACCGCCTGGTTCTGACAGCAGCCCAAAGAATTTTATGCTGCTGGTTTTCAGGGGCTTGTGAAATGATGGGACACGTGCCTCAATGTACAGGGAGATTATGTTGAGAAATACAAGCATTTTTCAAATCAGTACTCTTATTTGTTTAAGTTCTGTATCCATTTGTAACTTACTTATTGACTTACCCTCGTATGATGATAATTCTAGAAATTGAAATGCCAGTACAGGTGATATTGTTTCAGTATGAGTAATGGAAACAAATCTGAAGATGATGAATTAGGCAGTCTGTGTGGACCACAATATACATTTGCAGATGAGGAGACAAAATCGCGCTTCACCAACTACTCAATGTCAAGTTCTGTAATAAGGAGGAATGAACATTTAACACTACTTGATGATCGTTTTGAAAAGGTAAAGAATTTGCATGCTGTTATACATAGGTGAAATCAGAGTGCTCATCAGAATGGACTCAAGAGCACATGCATGGAATAGTCTTACTGTAGAAGTGTTATTTCCACAATATTTTAATTGTAAAACATTTATTTTAAGACACTGGTGTTGAATGAATGGATAATCTTATAAGGTGTCTGAAACTAACATACAAAAAAAACTCCGTGGCTTGAGTCCACAAGTGAACTATGGTGTTGTACAGTTTTCTCATAGAATTTGGCATACCCATGAAACTAGTTAGGCTGATTAAAATGTGTTTAAATGAAACTTACAGTAAAGTCCGTATAGGTAAACATTTGTCTGATAAATTTACTATCCAGAATGATCTAAAACAAGGAGATGCTTTGTTGCCACTCCTTTTTGGTTTTGCTTTAGAATACGCCATGAGGAAGGTCCAGGAAAACCAGGTGGGGCTGAAATTAAACGGGACACATCAGCTATTGGTCTATGCCGATGATGTGATTCTATTGGGTGATAATATAGATACCATAAAGAGCAACACACAAACTTTAATTGATGCAAGTAAAGAGGTTGGTCTGACAAATTAAAACCTGATTCAGGAGGAAATTAAGAGGAGATTGAACTCTGGTAATACTTGCTACCATTCAGTCCTGAACCTTTTGTCTTCTCATCTGCTGTCTAAAAACATAAAAATTAGAATATACAGAACTATAATTTTGCCTGTGGTTCTGTATGGGTGTGAAACTTGGTCTCTGACATTAACCTTTCAATGCCGGACTTTTGAAATGTTGGTAAGCTTGTGCTGTATGGAATTTATTTAAATGTCCGCTGCTGTTGCACATTTAAATGCCTATTGCTACTCTGCGATTAAATGTCCGTTCCTGTTAGGGTGCTTAAACAATTTTAAGCATTGTGTTTAAAAATGCTGTATCTAACACAATTTTTATGATAAATGGATGGAATTAACTTTGTTTGTATCAGCAAAGAACATAGTGTCGTATATTGTAATGGAAGATTTGAAAATTTTTATACAAAGAGTTATACTCTATTTTAAATTTTTCTTTTAATTGTGATGCGTACTGTAAAAATGGTTTACCAGTTTTTCACAGATTTGTTCTGCATTATAAATTCATTTCTACTTATAACACTTGACAAATTTTAGCAGTCCCCAGTGTCATGAAACAGATGGAAGCAATAAAATCATTTGGTTCTCTGCTGGAAAACCTTACATTTTTGTTACACTCTTCAAATTTTCGAATCTTTTGACTAAAGGACAGAAGAATGAAAGCATGGCTATTCAAGAAAAGGCTAGAGGGAACAATTTGGCTGTCCCTTCTTCAGTGCTAAGACCTTCCGTTATATCATCAAGAGATTAATTATTACCCTTTCTATAGTCGTGAACAGACAGTTGTTTCATGGCAGAGATAAAGAGTGTGATTCGTTTTCTGTGCATTCACAGTGAAATCGAATACTGTAGTTTCTTTTCAGCCTATATATACATCAAGCAGATAACAATAAAAAAGGTATGTACATCAAATTTTACTATATATTTTAAGAAATCATATGTATACTCTTTTTTGTTGTTGTTCACTTAGGTATCATTTTAATTCCTCTATTAGGGTGTTAGTCAAGTCTGTCTGGTAATTACTACATTGAAAAATAAATATTTAGGACAGTGCATGCACTTCTACTAGCGGCGTGTGCGCGCGCTTCCACTAGCGGAGTTTAAATGCCCGACTGGCCAAAATGGGGTACTTTGGCCACAATGACCATACTGGCCCAATCAGGGTACTTTGGATGTTAAAGGTTAATGGAGGAACATAGACTGAGGGTGTTGAGGAGAATATTTGGACTGAAGGGAGATGAAGTGACAGGTGGTTGGAGGAAACTGCATAATGAGGAGCTTTGTAACTTGTACTCTCCTCCAAGTATAATTAGAATGATGAAGTCAGGAAGGATGAGGTGGGCAGGGCATGTAGCAGGAATGGGGGAGAAGAGGAATGCATATATGGTATTTGTGTGAAAGCAAGAAGGAAAGAGACCACTGGGAAGACTAAGGCATAGGTGGGTGGACAATATTAAAATGGATCTTAGAGAGATAGGATGGGATGGCATGGATTGGTTTGATCTGGCTCATGCTAGGGACCAGTGGAGGGCTCTTGCGAACATGGTAATGAACCTGTGGGTTCCATAAAATACTGGGAAATTCTTCAGTAGTTGCAGAATTGGTGGCTGCTCAAGAAGGGCTCAGCTCCCTAAGTAAGTAATATAAAATGCTTCTGACTCTGAATTTCCTTGTATCTGGTGGTTGTTAGGGGACCAGATTTGCTTAATTGCATAAAGTGATTTGCCACTGTGTGTCTGTCAATGTCCCATCACTAATTAGCCATATATAGTCTAATGCATGATGTGATATCTGTTGGATATTTTCCATTTTTATTTTTCATTAAAAAAACATGTTTTGAAAGTTGGCTGTGCCCATGTGATCAGGTAACAGTTTGAAACCCCTGTTGGGTGCATTTGGTATGGCATGCATCTGTAACATGCTCTAAGTCTGTTGGGTCTGTTAGATCAAGCTAAGGCTGCACCATAACTCAAGCGGTTAGTTACTGGCCTCCCATTGCAGTGGCCCTGGTTCGATCCCAGGTCTACTCAAGTGGGATTTATGGTGAATAAAGTGGCGCTTGGGCGGGTTTTCTCCAAGTATTTCGGTTTCCCCTGCCAATCTTCATTCCACCAAATTCTCCATGATCATAATCACCAGGGGCAGGTACAATAGGCCAATCAGTGGCCGCCGTTCCAAGTGGACCCAGTTGCACTCCACCCCCCACTAAGCGAATTCAAAAAAATAGATCAAGCTAATGTAGTGTGTTGCTCCTGTTATTGTGTGTTTATCATTACTGGTCTAAATATATATCAATTTGCCTGTATTATTTTGTTAATAGATGTTTACAAATTGTTATGGAGATACTGACATTGGTGCTTTGGAATGTGAGGAAATCGAAGGTCATATAGCACCTGATTCAGAAGTGATGATCCAGTATGCTGAAAAAATGAAAGAAGAATGCAGACTTAATCAACCACTGTTAGAACGTAAGAGTGACTCTCAGGCCCAATGCAGTGGGTGGCTTTGTGAGGAAAACACAGATGAAGAGAATGACAATCTGGTGCCATTAGAAATACAAGACTCGAAGCAACATTGGGATTGTGAATCTATTGTGTCCACGTATTCAAATCTTTACAATCGACCAAAACTTATTACTGAACCAGTGGTAAGTGAATATACTACCTGAAATTAACAGACATATCTGTTTACAAGTCTGGAAATAGTTCTCTGATATTCATTCATTCATCAGTAATCTGTCAAGACGACAGGTCCACAGTCTCTTCCAAAACAGTTCCTCCACTTAACGCAATCTAGAGCTTTTTCCTTCAAATGAGAATATCCTCTTCTGTCCCCAAGGTCAACCAGCATCTTCTTACGTCTTCTTCCTTGTCTTCTGGTCACTTCTATCCGCCCCTCTATCTTTCCTTCATTAACTTCTTTCAGAAGGCAGTTACTGCATAAGATATGACCAATCCAATTAGCCTTCCGTTTTCTTATTTCATGTTGGATATTCCTCTGCTCACTGACTCTAAATAACACTTCTTCATTTCTCACATAATCGGTCCAACTGATCTTCTCCATCCTTCTCCAATACGACATTTCGAAGCTTTCCAGGTGTTTCTGATCTACTGCCCTAAGTGTCCAAGTTTAAAGCCATGCTCCAAATGTAGCATTTCACTAGTTTCTTTCTCAAATTTAAGTCCAATTTGCTGGTAAAAAGATTCTTCTTCCTAAATGCAGCTTTTGCCATAGCAATCCTAGATTTAATTTCACAAGTACACCTTCCATCATCTGTTAACAAGCTACCCAAATATTTAAAACATTTCACATTCTCCAGTTGTTTTCTGTGATATATGGACACATAAAGCAGACAAATTGGTAAACCAGATTGTTATAAGTTATTAACATTATTTCCTAAATTAAAATGTAATGTTTCATGTGAACATGTTTTATTTCGTTTTACAATTTTGATGTATATTGAAAACAAGTTATAAACGTTTTGAACAATGTGAATTGTTCTGTCAGTAAAACAGCTGTGGGCTGGATAGCCAAGGCTCAGTTCATGGCATTCCATGCGAAAACCAGTTCTGGGTCCCTGTCAGATAGGTACCGGGGTTTCTTGCCATGTAAATGGCCAGAGTGTGAAGCTGAACAGTCATCTCCATCCAGTGCTAATGTTAAGAATGTACGGAGCTTGTCTCTACCCCCATATATGTCTTCATGGTGTAGATCTTAAGCACCAGGCTAATGTTGTGTTTGACTAATATGTTGACTTTCAAGAAGAGAAGTGACCATCGTCTGCCTGCAGCAGCTGATCTGCTAGGAACAGGATCATAACTGATGCAAATGTTTTTATTACCACCCACCTCAGTATTCTCCTTGTTTCTGCCCATTTGCTGAGGGTGGCGAAATTCGCCCGTGGTGGGTGTGTCAATATGAAGTGGTAGCACTTAATGTTGAATGACTGGGTTGTGGTAGTGGTGGTGATGGTGAGGATGGTTACAACCATGAGGAGAGATTGCTGGACTTCCTCATTCTCAAGGTTCTGTACTTGGTATACTGAAACCTAAGGTCTTTCACACATGAATCTTCTTAGACAACTCCCCCCCCCCATTAATATAGATACAAAAAAAAACTTCCTGTTCCAAGGGGTGATAAGGGAATAATTTATGTTCTCTTGTATCCTTGACATTTCTGACATAGATTAATTTCTGGGGATTTTGAAGTACATAGACTGTGATGTATAATTCTGTCCCTGAAACTCTTATTTTTGCAAAACTGTAGTTATGTCTTGCTGAAAGTATTTGGATAGTTTTTCTGTCAGAGAGAGAGAATGCAAAAAATTTGTAAGGAAAAATATATACTGTACCTTTCAGGTACCTGTACCTAGCTTTTACAAAAAATATTGAACCTAT